CTTTCTCTCATCGGTTGTGGTGAATGAATTATTTAGGATTAAAGCAAGATTTAAAATCTGATTCTAAACTCTAAATCAAGGTTAACCGATTAGAGAAATGAATCAAATCTGCTTTTATACAATAAAACAGTCAAGTTGAGCAGCTTTTGTACACACTATTTGGTATTCTGATGTACAATTGGGGACCAAGTGATCCCTGGAATAGAGGAAAAATATATTGTAAATTTAAAATGAGTCTTATTGAGACCAAAGCTAGAAGATTGGTCAGTTTTTGGTAAGTGACACTCAACCAAGTGACAGAATAAAGAAAAGTATTTGGTAGCAATAAACAAGGTGGGTCAAAACTCACACAACAGCTTTTGATTTCAGAAAAAAGGAAGTGACTTATCTGAATCAGCGTTAATGGGGGCTTATGTTTTAGGCTTAATATTTAACGTGGCCTCCACCTTTAAAGCTGCCATCAAAGGCCAGTCATTCCAAGGGGAGGGTGGTCAAGTAGTATACAAACATGGAGCAGACTTTAGTCAAAAATTGATGGCTGTGATGAGGTTTCCATTTTGTGTACAGCTACTGTTCAGCAGCAGGGACAGCTCACCAACGCCGTTAACTTCTACACCACAACAGACGCTTCAAATCTGACGCCTCCGGTCGGCTTCTGAGACGGTTCTGGTCTTCTTTGATGTGGTACATGATCCCCTTCCCGGTGGAAAAGCTTTCCCTCGATTCAATATGGCGGCTTTCAGGATGGCGACCATGTTGGAAGATGGGCCCCCTCACCCTTTACAGCTGGGGTGTTCTGATATGCCATTTCCCCTTTTTGTTTCTGAACCAAAATGATGTCCTGTTACTTCTGATTTCCCCTCTGTTGTCTGTGGAACGCTGGCAGAGAGACGGAGTCTATAACTTTTTTAAAAATCTGCTTTTGCTTCTCATTATGGCTCCTATTTGTTAATCTGTGTGTGCTTTCTATGAGGAAATGACCATTAAAACATTAAAACAAGCACTCTTAGCCAAAACGTATCATCTCAGTTTAACTGAGACAAAATGTCTATTTCTACTACTTTGTCCTCCAAATTTGATTAGAATTGTTTTGTTTTACTGTAAATGGACGGTGTCCTTGTTTCAGTCCTAAAGAGGCCATTTTGGTACAGATGCCTTACGATAAGCAGCACACTCCTTTTCAATGGGAGGAAAAACCTAAAGTGTAGGTGGGATTTAGTGAAATATGAGGCGTCCATCAGCTTCTCTCTGTTTTCCAGCTCAGAAAAGGTTCTTTTCACACAAAGAGTAATTACATGGCTGTCCTATGAAGATGTTAAAGACACAAAGGTTTAAATCATTGTCTTTTATTGTAGTTGTTTATGCAGGATCAGTGTAGATGCCAGCAGGAGACCACCAGCGAGCACGTAAAGAACCAAAATCAGACAGGGTTTTTTCCTCTGTTTTGAGAAAAAAAGCCCACTTTTTCTAGTTTGAGCCTCTTTTATAGTCTGTTATGGGATTTATGGACAAAGACCGATCATCCAAAGTAATACAACAAAAAGCAAACAAACATTAGGAAAAATTCTTAAAGGTTATATAGTTCCTGTTTCTTTGTCATACTGTGGCAGACGTAAAGGAGAGCAATGGTTATGTTACAATCAAAGCCTGGAATTTGTCAGGGAGTGGAGATTTAAGGCTGGTTCCTACTTATTTATCTATATCTGATGTCACAATACCTCCCGGTAAAAGGAGGCCGTGTCCTCCGGTCTCTGAAGGATTGCCCATTTTCCTGTGACGTGTGGCGTGTTTTACTCGGTTATTGGGCTGTGATGACATATTTAAGTTGAGTCTGTCTAAACTTTATTTGCTTTTAAATGTTTACAGAAGTTTGCTGGAGGTTTTTCCTATACCGCTCATAAAAAACACAGTGTTGGGTTGACAAAAGTAAGCCAGGCAGTTTAAAGGGAGTGAAAACCTGTACGATTCATCCATTTTAAGTTCAGATTTGTCCTTTTGCATGAGGTTTGACTCAAGCTTGGCGTCTGCAACACAAGCCCAGACCATCACTCATCCACTACCGTGCCTTACAAGTTGTATTAGACCACTAAACTTAAAGCTGACTCAAATCTGTTTCTGATTGTACTCTCTTGGACTTTAACTGGGGCTTGTACGTCTCAGATTTCGTCATTTACAGTCCTGACTCGGGCTTTGGGTTGAACTTCCTGGAGTGGGAAACTTTTCTCTCCAATCCTGAGGCGTTTAATCATTTATTCAACATAATGAAGCTACACATTTAGCTTGAGATGCAGCTGTTGGAGCTAATATTACATCCTTTTTCTGATTTTCAATTAAAATGATTTGATCATTTATGTTTTAGAGTTGACATAAGAGTTGCTGTGGAGCTGTTTCCTGACTGATTTTGTTTTGTTTTTCCACCTGGCTGCCTCTCTTTGTTTGTACCTGCTCATCCTGGTTCTTATTGCACGCAGCAGCTGTGTTCAGCTGGCATGTGAAGGAGTGATTTGGAGACTCTTTTAAGTCCTTTCTGCTAAAATCAGAGGTTAAATGGGAGCATTCCTCGCATAGCTCGGTAACCATGAAGTAGAAATTAATGTGTTTGTGTTAAGGCTGCGAGAGGATGGCTGCTCTTCCAAAAATCTGACCGTAGAACATAAAATGGATCCCGCACAGCTGTTTTGATGGTTCTTCCTCAGCCTTTCTGCTGGACTCGAACTAAATCTTTGTGCCTTATTTTGGCCGATTGGGTTACATTGTTTTGGTTGTTCTAACTGGAGACGTCGCGGGGAAATGGAGGCATTGTGAGGTGGTGTAATCCCAGCGGCTGTGAGGATAATATCACCTCGGCTTTAAAGGCTTTCATCAGATTGGCACTTAGAGGCTGGGTTGTGTGCCAGGGTCTGGCAGTCTCGACAGGTAGTAATTTGACTGGTAAATGTGTCATTATAGCCATTGTAGAAGGCCGGGGCAGACGGGGAGAGAGCTAGATGGAGGGGGGGTGGGGGGGGAATAGACGGATCAAAATACAGCCAAGAGATGGATGGAAGTAAACAGGAATAAATGAACAGAGTTAAGAAGTAGTTTTGCAGTGGGCACGTTCAGGCAGGCTGGAAATGTCCCAAAATGTTGACTGGGGGCTTGCTCAACTTTACGGAATACGTTTTCTCTCCTCTGAGGCTTTGTTAGTTTTGCAAAAGTGCGGGTGGTCCCCGGACTGATGTACACAAGCGTCTCGCTCCCGGCTCTTCCTGAAGGCCCTCTGTTGGCGCTCAGCGCCGCGGCCCAGGCCGGACAATAGGACACGCCTCCCCCCAAAAAAGCCCGCTTCCTCTGGTTTGTCCATCAATTCAACGCTGAATAGCCCAGGAATCCAACCGGTTTTGTTTCAGTATACCTACCACTTCTTTTCAGAGAGTAAATGATGTGGCTTTGATGGGATTAAAGTCATTCTGCAACAAACGGGAAGACTAAATTAAAACGCAGTCCTCTTAGTGGAATAAATCTCACTTTATTTGCAACAATAACCCCAAATTTACATGCCGGCGTGCTTGTGTTGCTAATAAGTTTGCCTCCCTTGGCGTCACTAGTTCTAGGGAAGTGTGTGATTAGACTGGTGATGTTTGGAGGCCTTGTCGGTTATAGTTATTGCTCCCATTTCATCTTAATTACAGTTGTATGAGTAGCCCCACATCTAAGAGTAATTTCCCTCCCTGCTGTTTCACAAAAGACACCGAGTGCGCATCTAAACATAGCCGGTGAATTTTTGTGGTACTTATAATATCTTGAATGAGTGCTTCTGGAGTAGCATAGAGACAAGGCTGTGTTTACTGTAACTCCCCTTTGTGTGTTTCCTGGTTTGTGCGTACATCTGTGTGCTCATTAGCATAGGTGTGCGTGCAGATGTGGGCCTGGAGATGGAAGGCAAAAGGGGGGGCGGAGAAAAAGTTTTCTTTTTTTTTTAATGGGAAGCAGCGAGCGAAGGCAAAGTTTAGCCCAGCTCTGACACGTCGGTAAACAGCCCGGGAAAAGTTACAGAGAGAGAGAGAGAGAAGGAGAAGGAGAGACAGGATGGGCCAGGGAGGGAGGAAGGGGAGGTGAAGGGGGCAAGACCGAAGGATAGAAGGAAGGAGGTCACTGAGGGAGGGAGGGAGGGAGGGAGGGGGAAAGTAGCAGGCGTTTGCTTCTCCAGTTTGCTAAAGCCAGCTGTGAGACACCACCACGACTACAATCCGCCGCTTTTTTCCCTCCACAACCCCCTTTGAGGCGCTGGTTATGGTGTGAAAAGACTTGATCTGGAGGGCGATTGAAGGTATGATCCGTTTTCAGGTTTTCGTGTGGGGGGGGCGCCCGGATGGTGGCTCTTACCTGCCGGCGTGGCGTCTAAGCTAATGTCAGCACGCGTTGGCTCCCAGTGGAAGAGTTTGTGACAGTTTAAGGGTCGGGAATGGCTGCTCCTGGGTGGTCTCCGGCTCCACGGCCAGTCCAGACCTCTGCTGGGTTTTTTTCTCTCTGACTCGCTTCAAACTGATGGCGTCAGTCTCTGGTCATCGCTTCTTGCTATCTGGCTCATCCGTTTGCAATTTGTCCTGTTTTCCATGATAAACAAACACATGGCTTCAACCCCTGACAGCTTGTCCTCTAATCGCTCGGAACTTTGACCAAAAGAAAGAAACATATTGTACTTTACACAGATTCTGGTCTAGTCTATAAGACATCTGTTGTTATCCGATGAGCTTAAGATATAAAAATATAAAAAAGATGCATTCTTGGAAATGTAATAAAGATTGTGATGTTTTGCCAGACAGACCGATGCTTTTAATGGCAAATGGTGATTTAAAAAAAGCTATTTCCGCCCTCTAATGTTTCTAATTTTGAACTTTCAAACTTGGGATTCAAACTTTATTTTTGATTGGAGGAAGCATTTAGTCTGTCGGACCAAAGCATTGTTGACCTTTTGCTTTTTGAGATTAACATTTCTGTGTTTGTCGCCTCTTTAAGGCACGACCATGGAAGAAATGGACTTCGAGCGGCGCCGGGAGCTGAGGAGGCAAAAGCGGGAGGAGATGCGCCTGGAAGCCGAACGGTAAGACCCCCCACCCCCTCTACTGTCTGCGTCTCAGACACTCAGATCCACTCCAGGTTCCTGCCCGGCCTGTTAAAGCCCAGCCCGGGTTGTGCCGTAAAGCTGCTTGTTAACTCATTGACTGCCAGCCATTTTCAGAACAGAGAGTCCCATACTGCCAGAGTTTTTGACAGATTTTTCAAGAGCCACAGAATAGTTTGTGCTATGACTATGTAAACACCGAACACACCAAAAGAAAGAGTAGACTCTCTTCTTTCATCAGGAAAAAAATCTTTGTTTCTACCTTATTCCGTTCTTCCTTGACGTGCTTCTCACCGGCGACATGTTCTCTCATAGCGAACCATTGCGTTTTTTCTTATTTGCCCACAGTCTATGCTCATCTCCCATCAAAAGTGGCACAGCTACCTAGCGGGTCAATTTGTTACTACATACTCTGTCTAGAAGCCGATATTTACGGAAAAGCTTTAGCAGATCGTCCCCCAGCCACTCTCGTTGAAAAACATAAAGACGTCTATAGACGTCTTTGGCAGCCAATGAGTTAATGCTTGGCACACCACCTCCGACGCTCAGGCCAAGTCCTGGGAGCAGGGAGCCAGCAGCTGGCATTTCAAAAACATCCCTCTGCAAATATTGGCTGGGAGAAAAAGGACGGATGGGAAACGTGATGCTTAGCGTGAGGACCTGAATGGTTCGATCCAGGTCTCCCGGTGTCCAATTTTCTCCCTCAGAAGCGCCGACCCTGTGACCCGGCTTTGATTCAGTGGAAAGAAAGCGATTAATCTAAAGTTTGTTTAAGCAAAGTGATTACGCGGTAACCAACCAAGTGGACTAATCAGAAATAGTTTTTTTTTCTCTTTCCCTGTGCAGCGTTTACACAAGTCTTTTCATCTCTGCTGCAGTCAGAGCAATTAAGGATGAGCCTGATGTGGAAGCAGATAACCGGTCGAGGTCACTGGCTCTGAGGTCTGAGCCAGTTACAGTCTCCCTCCCAAAACGATGAATGTTTTGCTCCGATCAGTCTTCTTTTTTGCACAAATATGCTGGTAGCATTTCTCGAAGTCAGGCGCAAGGTCGGTTTCTGAAGGTAAAACGGCTTTTCATGTGTCCGATTTGCCCGGCTGAGAGATGTTGGGTTAGAAAATTCAGGGTTGAGCCTTTCAACCACACGCTGGAACTAAAGTGCCTTTCATGTTTCATTTGCTCTGACCAGTTTTATAATTTTATCAGTTTTATCTATGAAACTTTGTGCAAACCTGCGACACCCATCATTTAATCGTCCTCATTAAAGGGCATATCGCATTGGCTTATCCCAGAATACACTTAAGGTCTGTGCAAGAGTAGACAAACAAATCACAAATTTACATTTTTGAAACTCTAAAACGTCTTTAAAGCTGCAGAGCTTGTGTTAACCACTGGGGTGAGGCAGAAGATGTTAAATCAACTCCAATACTTTGTGTAAATGGCTAGCATGTTAGTAGTAGTGGCGTAAAGAAGTGGCTTTTTGTTTTATAAATGTACTATTAATCATGTTCTGGATTCTGGGGCACATCATACATCTGAATTCAGACTTTGTAGTTTACTTTATGCCAGTATACCACATGTTAAAGCAGAATATGAAAACACCACTCGCTATTTAAAGCTATAGCAGCGTGCTGATGCTCTTATCAGAAGGGCACAGCCTCTCAGTGCCTCATGCCTGATATTTCCTGCTTAGAAGTTGGTACTTTTTGTCCCGAAAAGGCAGTCACGAGTACAAACATGCACATTTTCTTTTGGAGCGTGCACTAGACCTCTCAATTCAAAAGGTCTTATTTGGGGGTACAGACTCTCGGAGTCTGCATCCAATATGACCAGTTTAATTTAGAACAGAGTTATGAGGCTGCACCTTCAGCTGCAACCTTCATTTTTAAGTGTCTATTTTTCGGTCTAAGTGGATAAGGTGGTATATTTAAGGAGAAATCTTTCGGCCTGTTTTGTTTGAGAGCAGGAAGACAGACATTGAAAGCCATGAAATGTTTGTGGGGAAAAACAAGTTAAGATGGTAAAATATAGCACTTGTTTCTCCCCTGATTCTGTATGCTTCCTAAAAGGATTAACTGGTCAGTTGGGTTTAGTGGAAATGAACAAACGGTCATCTTGCCGTTCACAGCTCTGTTACCAGTGTAAATAATAGAAATGTTTACAGGCCAAAACAGCTGGCAAGAAAAGTTCTGAGCTCCATATTCATTCATGCCCCGCTGATTTTCTTTCACAGTCACACAACATAAAATTTTGTGGTATATCTTAATTTTGACTGTTGGATTTTAATGCTCAATTCCACAAACACACTTTAACTAGCTCGCTGAAGTGAATGTGAGTGATTTCACAGCTTTAAATCTTCACACAGCCACACGCTGCCAGTTACTGATGCCTTTTTCAAGTGTTTATGTAACACGGAGATGAAATTTGGCAGAAACTGAGGCTCTGCGAGGAGGCGACAGAAGGGACGAGGACCGAAAGAAAGAGATGAAATGCAACGACTAAGATTTAAGTAACGTCAAGATTTCTATCTCCTCGGGGGCCTTTGTTCGTGCCTGTGTGTTTGCTCCGATTCCGGTTGGTTCTCCTGGTCCTGATGAAAGATTACATCTCTCTGATATTTCCGTTTCTGCCAATTCACTGAAACAATCAATATTTACATGCCTGCTCTCGGCAGGACTAGTCAGAACCACATGTTGTCTCGCTGGCCTGTGCGTGCCGCGGAGAGAGTTGGAGGAGAATGTGGGGCCATATAATAACGGCTGTAGGAATGCCAAATTCCTGACTATTATAAGTGTTTACTGGCCAGGATCAGCATGGTTTCCTACATGCTGGGACACTGCGATTGTCTGTGTGAGAGACTGCGAGTTTTTGTGGGAACGGATAATGGCGCGCATGCGGGGCCTTAACATGATATACGAGCTAGTTGTGTGCTCGTGTGTACATGTACACAAAGGTGGGATGGGCGCTAGCTAGGTTAGCATGCTGTGGGGGTTTCCTTCGGTATGTATTTGTGCGTTTCTGGTCAGTCGGACCCCCTTCACTGTGCCCCTCGCTACTAGTTTTAAGGGAAACGCTGTCACATATATGTGGACAAGCTTCAATTAACTTTTATTTGTATTCAATGAGGCCAAACTGGGCCAAATAGTTTTCTGCCCGAGTCTTTCTCCCACAGTGGTGCTCTTCAGCCCCCCGGTCCTCACTGCTCAGCAGTGTGTTTTCCTGCTCTGAAACTCAGGAATGAGTCCTAAGAGAGGACAGCACAAGGAATTTTCCCAGTCGATTCAGTCATCTGCTTCACTTTTCTTTTTCTGCGACGGTACATCTCAAGCAGAATTGAGTCAGGCTATCGTTCTGGCTCCAAAATGTTTTATTTGGACCCCTGTCTTTGACTTATTGTACACAAAAGTGTGCAAATTTCAAAATGATACCCAAATCTATCTGGCTCCACAAAGTTGGGGGTGATAAATGCCCTTTGCGTTTGTTAGTTTTGGGTTTTATTTCTGTGGACTGACTGTAACTAGCTAACAGCCCACTAGCAGCTAGGCTATTAGCAGCTAGGCTAGTAGCAGTTAGGCTAGTAACAGTTAGGCTAGCTTGGGTCCAAACTGATGTAAATGCTGGGATATAATGATCTGACTGCACTATCTTGGTGTGTGTGTGAGCTTGATTTTGAGAAAGGGATGACAAAAGCTGTGTTTTTGTCTGTTTTTCAGACCGTGTTTTTGGAACAATTTAATTTCTGCTGCTTTAAGGTTTATTTTAATAGCTTTGATCTTAATATCCCTTTAGGGTCATAGTTTATTTTGGATTCCCGGCCCCCTTTTTTTTTATTTTCTTAAGTTTCCTTCTCTTAATCCATCTGTATTATATCTTCTTTTTTTTTTTTTGTTTCTTCTCCTTGTCTGCACATTTTCTCTGTGGCTAGAAACTTCTCCCATCTCATTCCTCATAAATCCTCGGCCCCTTATTCCCTACAACCTTCTCCTCTCCTCAGCCGCGGCCTTTTTCTCCCTGCATTTGCATCCGTCTCTTCCTCCTTCGTCTATTTGAATGCGCGTTCTCACTTTCTCCCCTCCGCTGCCCTATTCCTACCCTTCCTGTCCATTCTCTGCCCTCCGCTTCACCAGACCCGGACGCG